TGATTTGGCTTTTTAGGCCAATTACATTTAGGTTCATCACTGAGTGAATTGAGATATCTTGCGTCTAGAACGACTTTTAATGATTCTCCTTTAGCTAAGTTAATAACGGGATTCACGAATGTATTCTTTTTAGTTATTTCTCTTTATTTACTGGGGAAAAAGTTTCATATTGTTCTAGAATATCTAGTAATCTATTAATTTTGTCTTGCATCAATTGCCTATGCTTGTTGCTTTCGTTTGTTTATCTTTGTGAGAATTACTTGAATTGGTTCTTTAGGCCAATTAAATTTAGATTCATCATTGAGTGAATTGAGATATCTTGCGTCTAGAACAATTTTTAATGATTTTCCTTTTGCTAAATTAATAACGGGGTTCATGAATGTGTTTCGTTTTGGTTATTTTTCTTTGTTTAATGGGGAAATAATTTCATATTGTTCTAGAATATCTAGTAATATATTAATTTTGTCTTGCAACTAAATTGGGACTTCAATTGCTCGTTGCTTTTGAAAGTTGCGTCAGGTTTCAGAGGTAGATGCAGTAGTAAGTTTATTTTTCTATATACAATTTAGATGTGGCGTAAACCATTGGGTATTTTAGTAGCAGTTCGGCTAGTTGTTCAAACTCTTTTGGTGTAATTTGAGAATGATGAAAATTGAACATTGTGAGTAGTTTTTGTTGTTCCTTGATATATTGTGATATCTGGAATGTCGGTTTAAAATAAGGTGTTTTTGTAAAATAGTCTGTGTTTGGTCTGTTATCACTTATTATATTATTGATAATTCTTGATAATTGGCATATATCTAGTAATGTCAAAAAATTATTTACTCTATATGCTACTTCTAATATGAGAGAAAATGTTGCATTTGTTTCGGAATAACCTAGATGTCCTAGAGGTACTGTTATTTTGTATGGAGAAATAATGTGTACATGTAATGAAATGTACACATTAATTGTACACATTATTTCTCCATACAAAATAACAGTACCTCTAGGACATCTAGGTTATTCCG